ACTGCGCCACCCAGGCGCCCCCAGACCGTACTTTTTATAGAAAGCTTAATTTTTAATTGCAAGTTGTCAGGGGAGGAAGGGACAAGGATAGGCTCTTGAGGTGTGATATATACAAATCATCTCAAAACCTAAATGTGTGCAGAACTTGACTTTTCCGTGGGCTTCGGAGAAGAGAATGAGGCCATTGCTGACTTTGCCGCCCTTTCCTTTCCCCTGGAACACCCTCTGTGAGCCACGCTGAGGAGGCACAGAGAGAAGGGTGAAAGACAGCAGAGAAGGCAAAGGGCGTGGAGGGTGCGAGGCTGTGACGTTGTGTCTGGATTTGTTGAAACTGACTCTATAGATGAAAAACTAATGGTTGATAAGACTTCGGATGCCAAGATCTCTTACGTTATACCAAGAATGTAATCATAATTAACAGCTCCAGCTTACGGAAGCTTGCAATTGAATTTATTTCACAGTTCGCAGTCCTAAAAGCGAAAAAGCTGTCCGTGTCAGTGTCCCTGGCCAGTCGGCCCATGGCTGTCCCCTGTGTGGGGGTGCAGGACCCGGGCAGCCGTGGCTGTGCCCCACCCCAGCGCCCCCTGGTCCGCACAGGCAGGGCCTTCTCCTCCCGGGCACACTGTGGCCAGGGGGTGTGGGAGACCTGGGCTGGGCTCCCCCCGACTGCGGCCGAGGAGCTTGGCCGGAGCCCCCTCTGTGTCAGTGGGGTCGTGGTGGTGATAGGTGATAGGTGACGTTGTAAAGTGACCATAATGTACCCACCAGTCGTTGTTGTCTGTACCTAGGGGTTGGCGGGATGGAACTTTTAAAACACGCACTAGGGGCGCCTGGGTGGCACAGTCGGTTAAGCGTCCGACTTCAGCCAGGTCACGATCTCGCGGTCCGTGAGTTCGAGCCCCGCGTCGGGCTCTGGGCTGATGGCTCGGAGCCTGGAGCCTGTTTCCGATTCTGTGTCTCCCTCTCTCTCTGCCCCTCCCCCGTTCATGCTCTGTCTCTCTCTGTCGCAAAAATAAATAAACGTTGAAAAAAAAAATTAAAAAAAAAATAAATAAAACACGCACTAATTTGAAATACGCTTGCCTTTGACTTTATACAGCTCGATAACGGAGCCTTACCATCCATAGTCAACGGGTCTACTGTCCCTTCGGGATCCACCCTTCCAGGACCACCCAAAATATCTTTGGCTGGGTAAGGATTAAAAGCAGTCAATTGTCGCTTTCTTTAATGTCAGAGTTTAAGAGGCTCTTGGGTACATTTGTGATTTTATCGTAAGTCGCAAAATCAGCTTTGCCTGTAAACCTTCCTGACCTCTCGAGACTGTGTTGTACGTTGAGTGGTGACAGTAACAACGTGGCCGTGTGTGTCTGGTGTGTTGTGGCCGGAGAGGCTTCCGCGGTGCCCTCTGGGCCGTGCCAGTGTTTCAGAGGCTCGCTGCCGTTCGTAGCTCTGTCTTGGGTTCACGTCAGTTTAAACTGAGAGGCTCTATTTCCTTCTTGGCTGTCATCAATGTAAGTCATGGTGTGGCACTCACCTGGCGGTGGTCTTGGTGTGCCTTTAGCCCTTTGCCAGCCCCTGCCCGCCGCCGCCTCCCTGCTGGGTCAGCCCCCACTCAGTGGCAGGCGCGAGGCACGCGGTCTCCACGTGGACACGGGCTGCACTTAATCTGGGATCTCGTCTTGCCCTTTTAAAGTCATGTCTCTGATTGTAACTAATTAAACTAACCAAGCTGGCTGGAACTTTGTCAAGTTAGCGTTCATGCGCTAACCTTGGATGGGGCACCCCTTTCCGCCCCATCCATCGGGCCCTTTAATTGCTTGTGGAGATCAGTGTATTCCTGCCTCCGCGAGTTTGGGGTGCACGACCTGATGTGGTCGGACAGCCCAGGGCCCGAAAAGAAATCAGGCCAAGCAATGCAGGAAATGTTCCCTGGGGCCTCTGGGGCCCTCCAGGTCCCTGTGGGGCTTGTGGTGGGAGGAGAGGTGTCTGGGGGCAGTTGAGAGGCCAGGCGAACCGCCTGGCGGGGTTCTGGGTTTCTCGATGCCTTCCCCTCCGTGCGGTCGCTGGGCAGTGTCGGTGGCTCCCATGGTTCCCTGCTGCTGCTGTGGTTTTAGCAACCGGTCTTTCCGGGGGTGGGGGGGAGGGGGTGTAACGGGGCAGTCGATGACTTTCCGTTAACTTAATGAGGTCCGGCTGTGTGGAGTCCTTGCTTTCCTCTTGGTGGCGGATCCGTGAGGGTGTGGTCGCTGTCACCGAAATTGGTCCTACCTACCATCATGGGTCTTCACGTCCCCGGACAAGCAGCCGCCACCTGGGCGACGCCTCCCATCTGTGGTTACACGGTGTGACCCGTGACGTCACCATCCCGAAGACACTCCCTTTATCTTTCTTGTGGCCCCGGGAGCATCTGGCCCACGGTATTGCTTCACGACGCGCTTTGGTGCGTCTGGCACCATCGAGGGGATTTGGTGCTTCTAATACTTTATTTCAGGTGTGTGCTCTTGGGGTCACGGTGCCGTCCGGGGATCCTCTGTGACTCGGCCGACCCACATTTTCCCGGGGGAACAGTAAGGAGGGAGTTCTCTGTGCGGCCCGTCCCCCACCGTCTGCCCAGGCTCTCCTAGGTTTGCTCCAGCAGTCACGTATCTTTCTCTATTTCGAAGGACCTGTGCGGGTCATACAAATATTCTTCCCTTACAAATGATGTGCCGGGAACCACACGGGCTTTCTGTTTGTGTTTCGTTGGTGCCAACAATGACTTGATTCGATGTCACTCGACTGAACGGCCCTGGTGATGTGTATCCCCACCCTCCGGTACCGTTGGTGAAAGTGGCACCTGGACGGTACTCAGGACTGTGCCGTTTGTGGTAAGCGGGCGGTCCGAAAGCTGCCGCTGTGCGGCTCTGTGCGAGTTCCCAACCACGGCTGAGCTGCGCTGCCTCGTCACCCCCTTAGGCGCTCATTAGTTCCCTCTCTGACTTCCGCAAGATAACGGGGTCAAATAAGGTCTGAAGACATCGGAAGGGGAGCTGCGTCGGTTCCGTGCGGTCTCTCGCCCAGCACATGACGTGGAGGCAGGCCAGCCGTCCTCCAGGGCGAGCTCACCCCGTCCTCATTCTTTCCAGTTGGGCGGTGAACTGGCTAACTGATTAACTAGCTGGTCATATCAGTAAAAATATCCCTTTAATAATTCATGTCCTGTCACCCCCGTATGGCTTTAGTAATCTTGTTATCAGTCGGGTGTCCGGGTGAATTCGGATACGTCGTAGACGCTACTATTTTGGGCAACGTCATGAGCGTTACAATAAAGAACATTCACGAGTCTGTTTCTCTGAAAACTTCTTTCTTAAAGACGAGGTCATGTCGCGGTGGTGCAGTTTATTTATCGTGCTCTTGTGAGGCAGAGTCGTGCAGATCTCTCCCGACTCGGTTATTTGCAGGGTGGCCGAAGAGCGTAGACAGGTGTTCTTGGAGCCGTGGGATTTTCCAGTTTAGTTCCCGTCCCCAGCACGACTGTTCCTCGTACGCTCTGTGCTCACCCCTGACGTGGTCTCTTCGCTCCCGCGGCTACTGCAGCCGAAACACCCCTGTGACCGACAGGGTCCGGCTCTGTCTCCTTCCAAAGTCGTTGGTTTTGCGTTAACTCCTTCCATCTATACTAAGCCACCGTTTCTGAATTTTATCGTGTGACAGCCGATTCTACGATACCTTCTGTCCTCGGAGTTGTCAGTTGTGTATATCTCATGCTCGAAATTATTGGCTGGATTCCTCCAGGGCTGGCTCTATGAGTTCTTATGGTAAAACCGTGGCTGGCGAGGAACCTGTTGTGCGAGCGTCCCGCAGGGCGAGCAACCACTTCCGATAAATCTTCGCTTGATAAACGAGCGGTGTCTTGCAACACGAGTAACACGTGATGCCGAACGTCCCATGATTACATCGGAGCCAATGGTTCTTGAAATTCGCTTTGATATACGAGTGCTTTGGATGCCAAGCATGTTTCCGGAAGCAATTATGCTCGCAGACCAAGGTTCTGCCGTGTAGTTTTTGGCGCTCCCTGAAGCTCTTACCACAGTTCCGACCACGTGACAGTCTCTCAGGAAACGCCCGGTGGCGTCTTCCTGATACTGGACGTTTGTCGAACTGCACTCTGTCCTCCCACAACTAAGGCAGGTCACCCCTGGGCTGTCCCCAGGCGCCCCCACCCCATCTCTTAAAGGGAACGACTTTGGTTCCTCCGGACAGGCACCGCGAGGCCACGCTGTGCCCCGTTGCCGGCGCAGGTCCGAGAGGGCCGAGGGCCAGGGCAGCGGAGGGGGTGTCCACACCCCCTCCTCGGAACAGCCCCCGTTCGATCCCGGGGGCACAGGCCAGGGCGTAGTACGGCCAGATCTGCCACCTCTGGGCACAGAAGTGGGGGACAGAAGTCGGCAAGCGTGCTGCCCGCGAAGGGGAAGAGTGAACTTGATGAGGAATGAGTTAGTATGGCGCTCGGGACACAGTTTGGGCGCGCTGTATTAAACATGGGAGGATCTCTTCAAGTACAAGTCGGCAGCTCACCCCAGAGCCGGCTACCAAGCGTGGGGCAGGGGTGTCACAAAACAGAAGCCCAGACAGGCAGGCTGCTGGGGCCAAGGGGTGCCGGGTGAAGCGTGCCAGCGCAGGAGGGACCCCGGCCAGGGCACACGCGCTGGGATCCGGGACGGGCCTCAGTCCTGTCCTGACTCCCAGAGTGGAGTGTGTGAGTGGGCAGAGTGCGGTAGCCACGGAGCGAAGGGCACAGAGTGGTCCCCGTGCCGTGTGGTGGCAGGAGACCGTCGGCCACCGTTGGCTGTGCCGAGCACCTGCTGTGCAGTTCCT